GCTACTTCTGCTACTTCCAAGCAAAAAAGTGTGTTTGGTTCTCTGAAAAACTTACTTCCAATACTTCCCTAAATGCTTATGTGGCGCTTACGTGTCATCCTTACTTCCAAAATATTTTTCCAATCCTCAATACTCAGAAGTAGCTCGGAAGTAGTTGAAATGCATATTAATTATGACATAAATAATTTTTTTATTAATATTTCCTTTATTAGTTACTTCTAACAACTTTTCATTGATAAAATTACTTCCTAATAATATTTTCAAATGTTATCCAAACAAAAAAAGTAAATGAAGAGGAAGAAGTTCTACTTCCATTACTTCGAAAAATATATGAAACAAACAAAAAAAATGCTATTTCCACTACTTCTTACTTCATAGCTTTGAAAGTTACTTCTATAACCTACTTCTTACTTCTAATACTTCCATTATACAAACGGGCCCTAAGTATAATACCAAGCTGGGAAGTGTAGATAAAGTGCGCCCATGAATATTAGGTGAATGCTCACCACCAACGTTTAGAACTAATCAACTTGCACCACTGATAGATTGAGCAAATCTCTAACGATATATTCCTAATTCAACCTCATTTTAACAATAAAATTATGCCGGCAAGCTTGCTAGAAATCAATCTACAGACTATCAATAGAAACCATTCATCACTTGTGACTAATAAAAAAGTTCAAATAATACACTATTTCCATCCTACTATATTTAGCGAGGGGAGCTACAAAGTCTACATCAGTTCACCAAGGGTTGATAGAAGCTACGCCTTGGCTTATGGTCCAAGAATTAATAGCCGAAGTAATCACACCTCTGTGAAGAGGACATCGACGATGAAGGAAACCTCACATTACTTGAAGTTGCGTGAAGTGAAAGCATCGAAGGAGATGCAGTCCAATATAGTTGGAGGGGGTCCCATGAATCGCGACCGTCGTTTGATGCAATGAACGGATGTGATTTAAGCTCTATTTCTCCGAAGTGGGACCGAAGTTTCTTTTTTAATTCTTATTATAATTTTTAACTGCATTTAAGAAAATTGCGGAGTCGTTTTCCGTTGAGATCTATTAAGATTCTGTCGGCTGCGCGTGTTTAGACTTTTGATGAGCTGAACAAGCATTAAGATGAAGTAGAATAATAAAGGGATGTGTTAGTTTGGATTAAGCTGCATCGGGCTTTGCCAGGCTTTATTGGGCTGGCCTCATTGTGTTGGGTCAAGGATACATGGGCATATCACAACGAGCACATTGGAGCCCATTTTGAAATATGTTCTGTCAAACTTTAGACAGGATGGTACGGTTGAACAGCACGTACGTAGCTTCTTCCATGATATCAAGTCATTGTGATTCAACTTACCAACAAGGTTATTTTTCTCGTCGGCGACTAGTTTTCCGACGAGAGCTCGTCATGTGCGTGACACGTGATGACTTAAACTGTTTTTTAGCTGTCGATGTGGCACGGATCTGTCCTATTTTTGGTGAATTGAGATTTTTAGAGGGTTAATTCATGCATTTAAACACTGCCACGTCAAAAAATCCGTGCCACATCAGCAACTAAAAACAGTTTAACTCATCACGTGCCACGCACGTGACGAGTTTTCGTCGGAAAACTGGTCGCCGACGAGAAAAAGGGGTAAGTTGATTCAATTAAAATACCTTAAAGCAGGTTTGCCTAATTAAAATACCTTCTTGGTGAATGGAGTGGAATTAAAATACTAATATGGGTATTTAGCCTTTAAATAATTTATTCACATTTGCTAGGGGGCAAAAGGAAAATGTAAAACATGAGCTAGCGCCACGATTGACACCGGGAGGAAGATCCTCTCCATCTTCGTGGTTAACGAGATGAATACTAATGCCGAATATCTCGGCTCTTGCGTTCTCTCTGAACAGGGTCAGAGTAGAGACTTTGATGATTTCATCTCAAAAACTCAGCTGAACTTGCGAATCGGAAGAATTATAAGGTGCTCTCGCGATCAGGTAGAGCGATCTTAATCCAGTCAACTTTGTCGAGCATCCCAGTCTTCCTATGGCTGCTGCCACCAAATTCCCAAAGAGGATATATGCAACAACCCAGATCGCATTTGCATTTATAGATGCTTTTGGTGGATCCACGACTCTTTTTGCGAAGGAAAACCCATTTTAATTGTAAGCTGGAAGAAAATCCAAAGACCAAAAAAATCCGGGGACAGATATCTTTTGGTCCACCTTCGTCTCCTCTCTGAGCGTGAGACCCTGGCCATTTTGACAGATATCTTGTTAGAATCTGACCGTCTTCCTCTTGTACTAATGCTTAATGGAGATCGATCTTGCTTATCCTCTGCATCTTTTTGGTCTCTTTGGCGATTGTTGGTCTCTCTTCAAAGAGTTCAACTCTTCCTCGGTTTTGCATGTCCGATGTGCAGGCAACATTTGTGCACGTGATTTAGCATCTTTTGCTTGCAGATATAATTGACCCTCTTGAAGGTTCTGATTGTACCTCTAATCAGATTATTTTTTATGCCATTAATAGAATCATTTCAGATTCCTTAAAAGTAAGTTGAATATTACTCAACACGAGTGGTCAGATTGAGGTCAAAACGGAATATTACTTTATATTATGTTTTCTTGACCCAATCACTAACCAGTCTGGGTGGTGTAGTTGGTTATCACGCTAGTCTCACACACTAGAGGTCCCCAGTTCGAACCTGGGCTCAGACATTTAATTTAAATAATTTTTGTTTTCAATTTTAAATACACAGTTGAGAAGATCACACTTCAAGATGAAAACAATGAAGTACTTGCAGGGTGTTCTTATTTTCCATTTATTTTTTTATGAATGTATAGCTCACGTTCGGCCACTTTAAGATGAAAACAAGAGGGTGTTCTTATTTTTCATTTATTCTTTATGAATGTATAGCTCACATTAGGGGTGAGCACGGTTCGGTTCGGGTCGGTTTTTACCAAAATTTGAACAACCGAACCGAACCACTTATAATTCAAAACCGAACCGAACCGTTGCAAATCGGTTCGGTGCGGTTCGGTTCGGTTTGTTCGGTTCTAACTTTCATCAAGTATAACAATCAAAGGCACAAATATTACTTGTCCCAAGAGATAATTTGTATATATTTGTTTTCATATGCGCCCAAATGCAAACCTCCGAGTCGTCGGAGGACTTGGACTTCTTGATGGAGTTGAAGAAGAACTCCTAACGCTCGTCGCCGAAGGGGCCGCCACGCTTGCGGGAGGGGGAGGGGGAGATGGGCATTTCGGGAAGAGGAGGTGAGAGTAAGGGGTCTTGGAAGAAGAGAGAGAGCGGGAGAGAGGGATTGAGGCCGAGGGAAATGGGAAATTGGGAATGAGTAGCGGCGGTTGTGATTTGGGAATGAGAGGAAATGAAGTTAGGGTTGAGGGTTTGGGACGGGTCGGGTAAACACAAACGAGTTTGAAAGTTTTGGAATATATTCGGTCGGTTCGGGTCGGTTCGGTTTGAAAAGTTGTCAACCCGACCCGAACCGTCTTACTCTTAAAACCGTTTTTTTCGGGTCGGTTCGGATCGGTTCGGTCGGTTTTTTCGGTTTGAACCGAACCATGCTCAGCCCTAGCTCACATTAAGCTTTTTTGTGCTTAGAAAAGCTGTTCTTGTCTAGTAATATTGTTTGCTACTCCTCTAGACGCCGATAAAGACTTTATGATTCATTAATTTCCAATGATCTTCTTATCTACTATCTCGAATATGACATTGTTACTGAAGCATATGCATAATATGATGCAATGTGAAATTATAAACTTTAATCTTCGAAATAAATCCAAAGTTTCACTAAGTAGAATAATTTTGTTACAAAATATAAGTTTTTGTGTTGTTCGAGTATGTTGTTAAGGAGGAAATAACTTCCACGATATATGTTCTTAACTTAGGAAATTGGTGGGTGTGTACTAGCTAGGACTGGTTGGATGCTTATAATGAGCTTTGATACTCTTTAATTATTTGGGGATTACTTATTTTCCATTAAATTCATACACAAACTTAATATATATGATTTGACTTGAACATTTTTATTTAGACAATCATTATAAATACATCACCAAATACCAATTTCTGTTATTATGTATTCAGCTATTGCAGATGATCCGGATGGTTCAAAAGTTTTAATAAGACTCCCACTATATATCTTGAGATTGAATCCGAATAGAAGTAGGTTATATTTATTATTAAAAAAAGGTCATGTATCTTGTTTTGAGTGCTTACCATAATTTGACTATTGACACCCATTTCACATGCGTTTTTACGGTATATTTCCGAAGGTAACAGAAAAATAAAAAATTTCCAAACAAAGGGGTGTCCATCGAAGCAGAAAATGGACATGAGTAGCCTTTGATCAGATGCCGAAGATGGGTGATACCGTAGGATATCAAAGTGAAATTAACCATACGTTTTATCAGAAAAATCTTCATGCAAGCTAGCAGAGTTTATTGAGCTATTCAGTCGAGGACAGATTACGATTTAGCGCACGAAAAATGCGTCAGGGACCCAAAATAGAGGACTTTGAGTGGGATAGGTGAAGCATCGTCTCCCTGTCCCGCGATGCATTATTTACGAACAGTGCATCGCGGGACAGGGAGACGACATCTCCCATGTCCCAGAATCCCCTATTTTTTTATCCCTGGAGCAACACTAGGAATAATATTTTTTTACAAAATTAAAAGGTCAAAATGATATTCTACAGGAGGACACGTGTCGACCCTATTCTACGCGTCAATCTCTCCTCAACCCACAGCATGCAGATTACAGTTACCGACTCCCCCTTCCTCTCCATAAAAATTCCTCCCTCGAAAACAGCCAACCCCAATCCAAACTCCTTCCAAAAAATGGAAACTTTACTGAAAACCTTCGTCCCTCTCCTCCTCGTATCCTGCTCCGCCGTCACATCCTACCCCTCCGTCTCCCCCCACATCGCTCGGGTCACCGACCGGTTCCGCTCCCCTGAGCGACAGTTCCAATCCTTCATCAGAAGATACAACAGGGACTACCGCACCGCGGAGGAGTACGCTCACCGCCTCGGTGTTTTTACCAGGAATCTTGCGAGGGCGGCGGAGAACCAGATGCTGGACCCCACAGCGAAGCACGGGATCACGCCGTTCTTTGATTTGAGCGAGGAGGAGTTCGAGAGGTCGTACTTGGGGTTGGCGGTGCAGGATAAGGAGGGGATGTTGGGTGCGGAGATGCGGACCGCGGAGGAGGTGGATGTAAGGGGGTTGCCGGCGAGTTTTGATTGGAGGGAGAAGGGGGCCGTTACGGATGTTAAGATGCAGGTGAGGATCTTAGTTTTTTTGGTTAATGCGTGTTTTAAGTGTTACTTACTGTACACGTGGCTAAAACATGAGAGCTAGCTGCTGCTGCTGCTGCTGTTGTTTCTTTAATTAATTTAAACTTAAGTTGAACTCATGCAAGTTGTTATATACTGAGCGCTATCTTGGTAGTAGCTCGTAAGACCGTACTTGTTAGTGATTAAACAGGGGTTTTACGGGTTGATGGTCTTCTCCATGGGAAAGTATCCGGTAGAACAGTCTATAAAGACAAGTGTGCATCTAAATAATGTCAACATTTGAATCGGTCCACAAATTTCAAATTCAATGATCCAAGGGCTGATGTTCATTTTATCCTTTCCATGAGCGCACTTGATGTGCATATAAATGATGTCATGGATCTGAGTGTACTTGATACTTTTTCGTATTTTTTATATACTTTTTGTTATTTGAAAAAATACGTACTAGATCTCACTAATGATTCATTGTATTACTTAATTGTGCGTTGAAGAACTGATTATATTTACCTCAACATGGTACAACCAGATTTTTAGGCCATAATTATTATTCAGAGGAAGTGTTTAATTAGTTACTATTCTAAAATATGATATGATCAAGTTGAAAGTAGCCTTAGCTGGTCGCATGTGCCATAAAAATAGTGTGACTGTATAGTGTACGGATGTGCTTCAGCTCTACCATGTAGTCAGATCTGTTGTGGATCGTCGTCGATGATATTTGGCTCAGAAGCCTGTTGAAATTAGTCATGTTCTTCTCTCACAGTGCACCACCAAGAACACAAAGGGAGAGTTCACTGATCTCCTCAAACCGACACTCACAAAAGGGGATCGCACAAAGGGGTTGAGAGCACAAAGCTCACAGGAGCACAAAACTCACAGAAAGAGAGAGATCACACAAATCAGAGGAGAGCTCAAAGTTTGGCCCGTTACCAAAAGGCCCATTTTCCTTTTGTTTATCTGATGTGCCCTAGCCTTTATCTGATGTGCCCTAGCCCCTCTATTTTCTTCTCCTACCCGATGGTTCTCACCTCCTCCCAGTCTTCGTGATCTGATGGCCGTCGCTTGTGAGCTCCCATCCGTAGGTCGGCTCCCTCCTTCGTTTTCTTCCCTAGCTCCTCTCCCGTGTCGGCCGCCCCTTCCCTATATATGGGTAATGGGTTGGTAGTAGCTCGGTAGAGGAGAAAGAGGAAGAAGAGATAGTGAGGAGAGCTCAAGCTCAGATCTTCTCCTCACTGTCTCTTCTTCCTGTGAGTTTTGTGCTCCTAAGATGAGCTCAACGAGAACAGAAATCTCGTGTGGAACAAAATGGGATCGCACAAAGGGGTTGAAAGCACAAAGCTCACAGGAGCACAAAACTCACAGAAAGAGAGAGATCACACAAACCAGAGGAGAGCTTAAGCTCAGTTTTCTCCTCACTATCTCTTCTTCCTCTTTCTCCTCTACCGAGCTACTACCAACCCATTACCCATATATAGGGAAGGGGGCAGCCGACACGGGAGAGGAGCTAGGGAAAAAAACGAAGGAGGGAGCCGACCTACGGATGGGAGCTCACAAGCGGCGGCCATCAGATCACGAAGACTGGGAGGAGGTGAGAACCATCGGGTAGGAGAAGAACATAGAGGGGCTAGGGCACATCAGATAAACGCTAGGGCACATCAGATAAACAAAAGGGAAATGGGCCTTTTGGTAACGGGCCAAACTTTGGGCCAACATGATAGCAACAATCTTCACCTTTGGCCCAAGGTAATGCACATCGAAAAAACACGAAACTGCAGGACTCATCATCGCCAAATCATTACCTGTATGATCACAAAGAAGATACAAGCAATAGAAGAGAATACACGAAGTAAACTCAGATCACAAAGATCGGGGTAAGATCACCAAGCATACCAAGTCCACAAAGGACCGAACTCTATCAAACGGTCATCGAGTTCAAAAGGGAAAAATCACAAAGCTACTAACAAGCACAAAGCAAGTTAATAGACCACAAAGGCAACACACAGCAAAGTCAAAATTACCCAAAATTAAAATTCAAGATTCTTTGACACGATATAAATTTTTCAGCAGGCAAACACTTAGTACCCATATCAGCAGGATTAAATTCTGAGGGAATTTTTTCTAACTTGACAATACCCTTTTCAACTATATCCCGAATGTAATGAAATCTAACATCAATATGTTTAGTTCTATCATGAAAAACAGGATTTTTGCAAAGTTGAATAGCAGATTGACTATCAGAAAATACAATCATATTTTTATCAAGAAAATTTTTGCAAAGTTGAATAGCAGATTGACTATCAGAAAATACAATCATATTTTTATCAAGAAAACCAATTTCAGATATAAGGCCCTAAGCCAAATAGCTTCTTTAAAAGCTTCAGTGACAGCAACATATTCAGATTCAGTAGTAGATAAAGCAACAATGGGTTGTAATTAGGATTTCCAATTTATGCAAGAGCCACACAAAGTAAACACATAGTAAGTGGTAGATTTTCTATTATCCCTATCATTTGCATAATTGAAATCTACATAACCAGCAAGTTTGACACCTTCAGAACACTTAGAAAAAGTTAATCCTATATCCACAGAAGATTTTAAATATCTTAAAAGCCACTTCAAGGCATTCCAATGAGGCATACCAGGGTTCGACATATATCTACTCAAGCAACTAACCGCATATGCAATGTCAGACCTAGTACTAACAATGAGATACATGACCGATCCTATAGCATTCGAATATGGCACCTTCTTCATATCATTTATTTCAGTTTCAGTATTGGGAGATTGATCCTTACTTAACACAAAATGGGAAGCAAGAGGCACATTCACAAGTTTCAGTATTGGGAGATTGATCCTTACTTAACACAAAATGGGAAGCAAGAGGCACATTCACAGATTTGACATTAGACATAGCAAATTTACTCAAAAATTTTTTAACATATGAACTTTGGTTTAAAACTAGAGTAGATTTGTTTTTGTCCCTAATGATATTCATGCCTAGGATTCTTTTAGCATCATCTAAGTCTTTCATGTCAAAATTTTTACAAAGACATTTTTGAACATGCTCAATAGACTTCAAACAAGGACTAACAATCAATATGTCAATTCACATAAATTACAAGAAATACAGGCATATAGTCTATATTCTTATAATACAGGCAATGATCAGCAGAACTCCTTTTAAACTTTAAAGATTGCATGCATTTATCAAATCTAATATTCCATTGTCTAGGTGATTGTTTTAAACCATACAAAGCCGTTTTTAACAAACACACATGATCAGGCAATTTAGGGTCCACAAAACCCTCGGGTTGGTGCATATAAATATTTTTATTAAGATCACCATACAAGAAAGCAGTAGTTACATCCATTTGTTTTAATTCCCAATTAAAATGAGCAACTAAAGCAAGCATGATTCTTACAGTAGTGAATTTGACAACAGGAGCAAAAATTTCAGCATAATCAATTCCCTTCTTTTGAGTAAATCCCTTAGCTACTAACCTAGCCTTAAACCTAACACTTTCAGATTCTTGTTTCACCTTAAACATCCACTTACAGTCCACTACAGAACAACTAGCAGGTTTAGGAACAAGTTTCCATGTTTGGTTAATTTTTAGGGATTCCATCTCACTCTTCATAGCACTAATCCATTCTTCAGAATAATTTGACCTTAATGCTTCTTTATAAGTCTTAGGTTCATTACACTCAAGGGATTCAAACACATTAAAGGCAAACTCAGACATATTATAATCAATCAAATTGTAATCTCTATATCTTTCAGGTTTCCTAATGGTTCTTTTATTTCTATCCCTAGTGAATTGATAATCATTCAAATCATGCATGTTATCTATTTCCTGCATATCATGCTCCACCTCATTAGGAATAATCTCATCTTGATTTTCAATAATTGTATCATTCAATTTTTCTTCAGAAAGAGATTTAGGTTGATTAATAATAGGCATTTGCTCCACCTCATTTTGAGCATCATTTTCAGGAATAGGAACATGTAAAGGTAAACAAGGAAATTCATTTTTATTAAAAACAACATCTCTGCTTATCACTATTTTAAACCCTGGTTCACTCTTATTCCAAAGCCTATAACCTTTTACCCCTTCAGGATATCCTAAGAAAACACATTTCTTATATCTAGGTTCTAACTTATCAATCTTTTGATGCACATAGCCAGCACCCCCGAAAATTCTCAAATTATTTAAATCAAGAGGTTTGCCCGTGAACACAAATTCAGGGCATTTTCCTCCTAAGGGAACAGAAGGAGACCTATTAATTAAATAGGTCGCAGTACAAACAGCTTCTCCCCAGAACTTCTTGGAGAGCCCAGATGTGGCCAACATAGTCCTCACCCTCTCTAAGAGCGTTCTATTCATCCTTTCAGCAACCCCATTCTGCTGGGGTGTATAGGGAACAGATTTATGCCTTTTAATACCCCAAGTAGTACACAAATCATTCGATTGTTTGTTACAAAACTCAAGACCATTGTCTGTTCTAAGAGTTTTAATTTTCTTTCCCGTTTGGTTTTCAATCATAATTTTCCAGTTTTTAAATTTATCAAAAACTTTAGATTTTTGTTTCATGAGTAAAACCCAAACTTTTCTAGAATAATCATCAATTATGAAAAGAAAATATTGGTTCCCTCCATGCGTAGGCACACTAGAGGGACCCCACACATCATCATGCAAATATTCAAGTACACTAGTGCACTTAGACTGATTAAAAAAAGAAGAAGTAGGAAAAGTAACCCTATGTTGTTTTCCTAGCACACAAGATTCACAGAAAGGGATGGGGGATATTTTATCACTACCAAAGTGACCTCCTTTATGCAAAATTTCTAATCCTTTATTACTCATGTGACCTAATCTATTATGCCATAAAACATATTTATCACCTATCACAGAGTTAACAGAATCAAGCACATGTTCAGCATGACAAACATACAAATTATTTTGTTTTTCAGCAGTAAAAACAACAAGAGACCCTTTCAAAATTTTCATAACCCCTTTACCCTATTTTCCCTCCAAACCATCATTTTCTAGAGATGCACAAGAAATCAAGTTATAACGTAAATCAGGAACATACCTAACATCCTTCAAAGTAAGCACAGAACCAGAGGAAAACCTTAAGCATACATCACCAGTTCCTAAAACATTGCATTTCTTTTCATTTGTCATTGACACAAAGCCATTCTCTATTTTCTTGTAGTTTAAAAACAAGTTTTTAAAAGGAGATATATGAAAAGTACAACCAGAGTCTACTAACCAATCTGATTTACACAAAGGATCAGATAACACAGAGTTCAAATATGCATAATCACACAGATTATTAATCATGAAAATCTCACCCATTTTGCTCTCACAGACAGCCATATTAGCATGTTCATTTTGCTGATTTTTCTTAGGCTTAGGACAATCTTTAATAAAGTGACCAGTTTCATGACAATTATAGCATTTTTTAGCTTTAAACCTGGACTTAGATCTACCCCTTCCATTTTCAAATTTTTTCTTACTTGATTCCCCATTACTAGCATTCTTTTGGTAATTAGACCTATTCTGAGGCCTACCCCTCACATGTATAACCTCACCAGAATTTTTATTTTCCCCAGAATGTTTTAAATCTAATTCCTTACTCTTAAGACCATTAACCACAATATCAAGGATAATATCATCTCTACCATATTTAATAGCAGATTTTACATCACTATACGAGTCAGGAATAGCATTTAGAAGGGCAATAGGAGTATAATCGTCTATATGTTTATCACCAGTTAACTTAATATCTGAAATAAGTTTTGTGAAAACATCTAGGTTCTTCTCAATGTCCTTAGACATATCCAATCTAAATTTGAAAATTTTTTCAAGCAAAAACATTTTACTGGGCAAAGAGGTTTCAGTATAGAGTTCAAGTTTATCCCAAAGGGTTTTAACAGATTCCATAATTCTAACTTTTCTAAGCACAAAGTCAGATAAGTTTAAATAAATTGTGGAACAAGCATTTTCGTTCATTTCAGCTCTTTTTTCTTCAGTGTCAGAAGTCAAATAAATCTGACCTACAGCCCTAAATGATTTCTGTTGAATTAAAATACATTTTATTTTTTGTTTCCAAATGCTAAAATCAGATTTTCCGTTGAACGGAGCCATACCATATTGAACCATACCATATTGATTAGCAGCAGACATTTTTCACACAGAAAAAAAATCAGATAATGGTATCACAGCAACTCGCACGAGCAAGGGAAAAACAAGAGAAACAAAAAAAATAAATTTTCCAGCAACTAGCACGAGCAGAAACACAAACAGGAAAAAATTTTCCAGCAACTAGATAGCTGTTGAGTTGGGTTTTCAGCCGATATACCTGAGCGAAACCCTAGGAGAGGGTTTCGACCTTACCCACGCCCACGCGACGGTGCTCTTGCAGTTGAGCTCTCCTCTGCTGTGTGCGATCTCCCTCCTTCTGTGAGTTTTGTGCTCCTGTGAGCTTTGTGCTCTCACCCCCTTTCTGCGATCCTCTTTGTGAGTGACGGGTCGAGGAGATCAGTGAACTCTCACCTTTGAGTTCTTGGTGGTGCACTGTGAAGGAAGAACATGACTGATTTCGGCAGGTTTCTGAGCCAAACAAGCGACGACGATCCCCAACAAGGTCAAAATTCAATTAATTTGTAATTTGCTGTATGTAGTTAATGGTAATGAAATTTATCCCGGATCTAAGTAAATGGATGTAGTGGGTGCTAGAACATGAATACACATGCAAATTAACATCTTTAAGGATATATATGTAGTTATTAATGTTTTGAGGGGTAATATGTAGTTATTAATGTTTTGAGGGGGTAAGTAAGGCCTTATTTTCTTTGTCATCTTTATTTTTTACAGAAAATATTTCCACCAATAGTTTGTATTTAACCAATTCTTCTTATCTCCTCGTCATTGCTATTTGCGGAAGTAAATTATTGTAATTACTTGAAAAAAGTCCCTTTCACAACGTTAAAACTCCAAAATTGTAATTAGAGTTGAAGAAATTATAATTTTAGTCTATAACAGGCCTTCATAGGTTAAGCATCCGAAATATGAACTATTTCATGTAACATACCTTTTAGTTGAATCCAATGTGTTTATTGAACCTTGGATTGAAGTTGTGATGAAGGTTGGATATTAGAATTTTATACTGGAATAACATTTAAATCTGAGACTTGATCAGCATCCTGGTCGATTCCTTTCGCATGAGCCTCTCTCAAACGCTTGGACCTCTATAGTGCAATGCTATTTGTAAGTACAGCGACTTCTACGTTAGTTTGGTATTTCACAACACAATCAATCATTTCTAAAAAGTAGAGACGATTGAGCCATGGTTAAAATTCAGGGCGGAAAGATCCCATATGCTTGCATTATGCGCTACCAGAGTAGTATAGAATTTCTAGTGCATTTGGCATCACCAATTTATATACACTTCCTTCTAATTTAAGTACAAGAGAGATGAAGTGCGGCCATCTCTTCCTTAGAATGGAACATAGGTACGGTCTTCATGTCTTTTGTCTTTAGTCATTTTTGGACCATATTGCAAAAAATAAGAGGCATTTTGTGAAAGAAATGGGATTTGGGCATCAAGAAAAGAAAATTTGAAGGTGATCTAGTCCTATATTAAAGTAGTAAGATGCATTCAAAGGCGCATGAGAGTAGGTTTTTAAAAAACGTTGAATTTGGTATAAC